TGAAGGAAATTCTGTTGACTGCAGAGAAATAAACTTCTTTGCAAGCTTGTTTGCCAATAACTCTCTTGTGATGTGCTAAGTTTACTCGGAAGCCTAGAAGTATATTGTATATCCGTAGAGAGTCACAATTTTTTCCGTCTGTAAGAAACGTAGTGTGATACAAATGACCCAAGAAAATTGCGAGTATTTTCATAAAGGAAACTACTCACAAGGTTGCTGAAAACTCTTTGACAGCCCATGACTGGTTTCTCGTGAAAACCAAAGTGATTTGCAAATGAGTGTATTTCTCAAAAACAGTGCAATTTGGATTCAAGTAGATCGGAAACTCGGGGACTACGCCCAACTGATGAGCCCCAAGAAGGGCGAAACCGGTCGTGGTTTGTCGAAGAGTTTTCAGCAACCTTGTGAGTAGTTTCCTTTATGAAAATACTCGCAATTTTCTTGGGTCATTTGTATCACACTACGTTTCTTACAGACGGATAAAATTGTGACTCTCTACGGATGTGCAATATGCATGTAGGCTTCCGAGTAAACTTAGCACATCACAAGAGAGTTATTGGCAAACAAGCTTGCAAAGAAGTTTATTTCTCTGCAGTCAACAGAATTTCCTTCAGACAAAACCATAGGAAAACGGCGGAGCGCTTAGTAAACGAAATCGTTCGCCTATTTTATAATGAAGTACTTTTCAGAATTGAGTGACCTCAAATTGTATCTCAATCAGCTGTCTCATCAGTGATGAAAATGGAACCATTGCTTCGAATGTGACGGGCTTAAAGACCAGTGTGCAGAATGAGACTGAATGTAGTGACATAACTGAGTGCGTGGATCGTCCCTATATATGCAGTATTTTCTGCTTGGTGTTTTCATGGATATCTGGTCCAATAAAGCTGATCGGTACAACTACGGACTATGCCATTCGGCTTCAAGTAAAATTACACGAATGTATGAAGCTTAAGTGATTCTGACTTGTCGAATATTTTGATGACACTTGTGTTTACTAAATCACAGCCTTACTTCACAGAGCTCTTCAAACAATTGCCAAAATTGCAAAAGTTGTATCAACAACATAATGAATAAAGTGTCTATGGACTAGGCTGAAAGTTGCTGACGAGACAAAAACTACCGTTTGGTGATGAATTTTAATATGATGAAGAGGAATGTAATGGCATATGCATAGTAGACTCCCATCGATTCTACTGTATACCTCAAAATGCCCAAAATATTTCAGATGATAACCTTATTTAGGAAACTCGTTTCTTTGTGCCTATTTCACTGTTGGACAAAAGTGACTTACGTAATGATCAGTGCTCAAAATCAACCTGATATTCAATCTTTTTTCAAATGGCGAATGGAGACTGCAGCTAAAACCCACCTCGTAAATCTAGGTCGATTTTGAAAGCTCTGCCTTTTTCAACCAAAATGAGTCCTCTGTTCATTTCCAACGCACACTATGCTGGTTGGTATACATTCCAGGTCACTTGTATCTTCCTGCTGGAAGCCTTACATCGAAAACACCCGGCAGCGCTACAGGAAATTTTACAGTTTTGGAATGGGTGAGAATATACCCTGCCTACCTGCAAGGCAGTCTGAATTCTGAAATTACTTTGTAGTGCTAAATACGTAAGGTCAAAGATTCCCAGGACCAATTGTGCAGTTTTAAAGCTCTTGTAAACCAAATCAAGTTCACACGGAGTTGAGAGCTTATTTTCAACCTAATTTGGCGTTAATTTCAACCTAAAATGAGATTCAGAGCAGCTTCTCGTTCAAAGTATTCTCCAACTAAATGTGGCAGACAGAGGCCCCTTATGCTTCGTCTGGGCACATTCTCTGAAGATTATAGTGGAATCGTTTAGTACCTTTCTGACGTTCTGGTTTACGAATGCGCACGTTATCCTAGATGTCGTTACATCCTCCTTTAAAACTCTCAGTTCGCATCCAGACAGTGATGGTTCTTCCGAAAATCTGGCTAAAATAACTATATTTAATCACTACTGCTTCCGGTATCCTGACTGACCGAAGTATACTGATGCAGATGTCGTATGAGTGACCCTTCTGCGTAACCCTTCTGCGGTATGTGCATATATCATTCATTGTGAAAGATGTTCCAAACAACTCCGCACATGCACTTTGGTTGTCTCTTTTTAGATAAAATTTGTGAGGTTACCAAACAAAGGTGATTTCCATGAAGGAATCTACTCACAAGGTTGCAGGAAACTCAGCAAACTTGTGAGTAGTTTCCTTTATGAAAATATACTGCGATATGTCGAATACCGTGCCAACTGAAACGTGAGGTGGCCTGTGTGAAGTTGTTGAATAGTTGTGTCAGTTGTAGAATATCACAAACGAGAGATTCAGTTAAGTCTCTCGTGAGAACTTTGCAAATGAGTGTGTTTCCAGAAAAGTTATTTCCTTTGGGAAGAAAATAACAATTCACCTAGGCTAATGGATACATAGTGTGTATTCTTCTCTAGGAATGGTCTGATAAGGGGATCAATGCGTATTTTTTTCTCAGCAGTGTGTGTTAAGAGTCCCATGCTTCTACAGCCTTAAAACATTTATCTAAACTACTGCGGAACTTACTCCTATGAGTATCCTCCTTCAGGCATTGCGCGTTCGGTAAGCACGGCTCATGATAACTTGAACTCAGCAAAGCAAACGCTTTGAGGTATAAGTCATGGTGAACACTGTCCAGATCAGCTGAATCAATTGAGTACGATTTGGTACAGTCCGGTGGTCGTGATTCACTATTCACTGTTCGCATCGGGGCACCGTTCAGTAAAGTTGAAACACTGAAATCTTTCACGCCACCTTTGGTCAGAGGCATGTCTTAGTAGCAGTAGTAAGAAGCTCACCTCCTACCGAGGATATCGTTACTGATCCCAAAGCAATCCCCAATTTTCATTGGTCGAAAATAGCAAGATTGTCGGCAAGCGTTATCACTCCCCCCTCTTCACCCTACTCGGACCGTTGTCGTGTGATTCGTATGCGCATGGACGCTGTATCACTGGACAAGGGGTAGTGTGTGGTTCAAGACAGAGGGACGGTGTTCTTAAATCTGTCGTTGAACGAATTCAATAAGCAATGTGGACCGACACAATTTCACCTACTCCCAGTTGGTTGGCAGTGAAGAAAGGTGAACCTCAGAGAGACACGCCAATTGGTCGCTGAATCAAACTGAATTTTACACCAAGGAAAATTATAAGTTCGATAAATTGCACAAAAGAAGTGTGATATTCGCACTTGGATTTAAAGCAAGGCGCAGCTCTTTACTGAGAGCCTTCAACTTAATTTCCTCCACCAAGAGCGCCTTATGCTTTGGTTAGAACGATACTTAGAACACTACAGTATATTTTCTTGAATGGACACTACTCTTAGTAAATCTCTTTGACGGTCCCCGACCAGTGTTTCCTTTGGGGTCCATTATTTAGGCATAGGTCTTGAGTTTTCGTCAACGTTCCGTTTTACTCGAACCCAAATTGTATGCAAGTTGGGAACTACCTTCATTCGCACAATAATTTGGTTTCAACGAAGGATTCAATTGACTTTCAGCCCATTCAGCCCAATCTCTTGTTTATAAGTCAGCCGCTTCTAATTTGCTTTCAAGCAGGATATCTGAAAAGCTGAAAGTAGTGTACTGCATCTGTCCGATGAGGCCTAAGAAGGACAGAGCCGGTCATGGGCTACGGAAGAGATTTCTTCACCCTTATGATCGATGTTGATTGAAGAATTATATTAGATTTTTCTGTAGTCTTTTTATGCACTTAAGAGGGGATATACTTCATCTGTCAGGCGATGTCACTTAATCACAAGTGACGCCAAATCTATAAAACCGTGGCGATTCGGGAGCCGATTGTAAACTATTCGTCAATGGTTGGAACAGACAAGTAAAAAGGTGAAGCCGTCGGTTTATGAACCGCTTTAAAACTTTTAGGCTCTCTTAAATACAAAATTACAACTCCTCGAAAGTGCCCAAATCTTTTTGACATCTCGGCACAAGTTGTAGTCACAGGCACCCATTATCGTTTCATGATCTCTTTCGTGGTTTCATAGTCTCTTTTGAGAGAAAGACAGACGTTTCTAGGTAGCGTAACTCTGTATAACTCTGTAACTCTGTATATTGTACAGGAGTACTTGTAGCAATTTTACATCCTTTTTGGAAGTAGAACTTGACTACATACCGAAATATTTTCATATGGATAAATTGAATGTACCATGCGTCTTAATAGGGTCAATTAATTTCAACGCAAGCAAGCATCACCTCCCACCGTCCCAGTTCCCAGCTACTGGTGTTGTGCTTGCATTCAAGTTGGTACTACTGACACAGCCAAATCAAGTCCATTTCCTTTTTATGTTCCAAGTGTCTGATGACGTAAACATCTTAGGCTGTCTCCACTGTTTTGTTTCGTCTTTGCGCCGAGTGAGCTAATTAGAAACCAAAGATTTCTCTCTTTCAGGTTTGCCGTAAAAACGCTCCTGGAATCGTAAAATTATCCGCTCATCAGCCTCATGGAGGAATCCTCCCTTGGAGAGTAATGTCCAGTTGTCCTATTCTCCGGAATAACAAAATTCCTTGCCTTAAAACCCAGAATAAAAATGGAAGATCGCTCAAAGTAAAAATCATTGAATACTCGGGACAGAGTGGTTTGACTAATGGTTTGCCGTAAAACGCTCCTGGAATCGTAAAATTATCCGCTCATCAGCCTCATGGAGGAATCCTCCCTTGGAGAGTAATGTCCAGTTGTCCTATTCTCCGGAATAACAAAATTCCTTGCCTTAAAACCCAGAATAAAAATGGAAGATCGCTCAAAGTAAAAATCATTGAATACTCGGGACAGAGTGGTTTGACTAATTATCACCCGAAGCCTTGATAAACCAAAGGTTTTGGATTGATAATATTCTCATATTTTGCGTGCTATGGCAGATTCAGCGATTAGAATAGTTTCGAGCAAGCGACTTAGGTTAACACCTAACTGCTTCCACAAAAACGAGGAGATAAATAACAAATGTGTAATTTCTGTCACATTATGCAAACGGTCGATCAACAGTACATGGGAAAATCAGGTTGAAATATGACTAGTACACTTTACTTTTTATTACTGTCCACATCGATAAAGCATAAATGCCTTTCCATCCAGATAGAAATAAATGAATCGCTCGCTTTCGTGCATCACGCAGCTAAAATAAATGAAACTCCAAGAGTTGAGAACATGTGGAAATCGCTGTGTTCACAGTAGGATATTTTCAATGGCCATACGGACATTAAACTCACCTGCCGAATTCCCTACCAACCACACAGTGCCAGGCAGGTTCGTATTTTTTATCGAATTCCCGTTTCAAATGAGCAGCGATGTCTTTGGGAACACTGTAACGTTGAACTGCGTCGATAGCCATTCGAACCGCATCCTCCTGCATTTCGTTTGGCATATCATAATTTTCCACCACCGCTCGGTTCAGCGTCATTCTCGAAAATGCGTAACTAAGCGTTATTCGTTATCGACTGGGTTATGTACTTGAGTAAAAGTATTTCTCCAGTGTTCTTTGTAAATATGTCTCAACATTCACGTGAACTGAGAGTCGATCGATAGAGTCACCGATAGCTAACAGGTGCGGTAAGAACGGCATCGCGCACATTCCACTTCATCTGTTGTCATTTCACGGATTCCATACACATTTTGGCAACTCTGCGATCGGTGACACTTACGCATCTGGTGTTTACTTCACTCCTGTCTTATTTTACCTTACACGGGTTTCATCCCTGTCACAGTACACGTTTTCTGCCATTCGAGTTACAAATATATTGTCTGGTTCTATTTTTTTTAAAACGAAGCTAGACATGATGTCTGATACTTTGGTTATTCTGGGAAAAACACATAAGCGTACGGTCTAAATGCCATTGAATTTTCTTATGCTAAAATTTCACCATAAAACATTAGCAGCCTAGGTGAGGGGATCAATTTTGACCAATGTTTCTACGATGCATACAGACACATCGAAGTCTAATTTTATTGCCTGCAACGTGATCTATTATTTGTTCGACTGCAGCAGTACTTCGACGCCTAACTACCCAAAGGAGGCACGTGGGTTAAAATACTGCCTGGCTGCCAAAACCCAGACAGGAGTAGTCGAGATGCAAAATCGGGTTCGAACCACGGACCTTCGGATCAGTAAGCTCCCGTCTGAAGAACTGAGCCATCCTGAGCTCTGGTACTCATTGGAAGTTAATTGACTCACGCCAACTTGCAGCCTGTAGAGTTCAACGCTCTAAACCAAATATCTACCATGTCTCAAGCTTGAAGGACCAGTCGGCGAAGATGTGCTGTTGATGGCGCAGCAAACATGTACTCATCCAAAGAAGTGTGTAGCAGACAAACGTTTGCATTTCGTCTGCCAACAAGCAATAGCCTACAAGAACATTATCTCTACCTGAGAGTTGTCACATGTGAGATGAGATTGCAAAAATAGTTCTCAAGGTACCTCTTTAAAGCACTTTCTCTCTAATAAGCCGAGAAAGTCAAACAGTATTGAAAAAGTAAGATGGTGCGCAACCTCCGCGATTTCTTTTTGAACAAAAACAGGTGTGATATTACCTACCACAAAGAAAGCATATTCAGATAGGTGTAGTGTCAGTTCAGTTAATTTTTTAAACAGTTATCAGAGTGCATAATTGGAAAAAAGGTGTCACTGAGGGGTGATCTACTCAAATCTGAGTAGGGCCTCCAGTTCGGCCTCTTGATGCAAATAGCTGGTTCTTCTACGTACCCGTGGATAAAGCCAGCCACCCTGAATGGGTGTCAGGGATATATACAGATTGCGCGTTTTGTTTACTGATTTTAGGATAAATTAAACCCGGTCAATCTCCTTCTTCGGTAAACAGATTACAAGTACAGTTAGCTGAGATTCACTTGACTGGCTGAAATTTTCATACCTCGAGACCAAAACGGATTATGCCAGGGTAGTTTATACGTTGTGACCCCGCAGTTACAGGGTAATAGCTTGAAGTTTTTGTTACATAGATCTACCTAGATTGTGACATTCACATGTACGTCGAATCTCCTCAGAGATATGCATGACACTGACCGATGACAGTGTGCCCCAATAGTTGTAGTTGGGTTCAATTTACTAGTTGCTGATTATGTGGCTATTAATTTGTTCGCCGACCCTGGTGTAACGGTGATACTAATGATGGGGAGGCACGCGAGTAGTGTGTGTTGTTCGTAGAATTTCGCTTTGGAGGCGCGCGAGTAGTATGTGTTGTTCATCAAATTTCGCTTTGTGTCTTTTGAAGAGGGGAGATTTGCTGCGGAATTTGTGGAGCCACTTTGTAACATTTGCTTGGATTTGACCGAGGATTGATTGGAGTCAACGAATATCCAGGAAAGTTCAAGAAGACGCGTTCGGGAGAAGATTGGTGTCCAGTTTTTGTAAATAAAATGCAAATAAGAGTTTTGCTGCCTTGTTCAATGGTCTCTAACCGGTCAGTTGGCATTTCCGAATAAATAACTCCGCAGCGAAGGCCTTCTCCCTTTCATTTGGTGCCGTGACCAGGATAAGGATGAAGATCCCGTGGCCTCAACCCTTTGAGGATGGGACCTTCCTGAAGATTCATTGACTCCACTCATTCTTCGGTCAAATCCAAGCAAATGTTACAAAGTGGCTCCACGAATTCCGCAACAGATCTCCCTTTTTCAATAGACGCAAAGCAAAATTCTGCGAACAACATACTACTCGCGTGCCTCTCCATCAGTAGTATCACCGCCACACTGGTATGTACCTTGTGAACGTTGCAAAATATCATCGGTACGTAACTGCACCGCACTTCCTCCTTGCCCGTTTTTTTTAAATTTAACCTCGTATTTATCGATATTAAATTAATATAAAAGATAAGGTGGATTGTCCCTTTCTCTCACCACATACTGACTACATCTACTCAATTGCCAGTGAAAAGTTATCAAGCTGATCTCGGAGCTAGTCAAAGAGATCAGCGACTCGCATGCACGCCGCTATAACTGTTCAGCAAAAATGAACCAATCTTGTGGTGAAGCCTGGTGTTTTAGGATAAGCTGGCCTTCACTCAGAGAAACATTATAATAATCTCAGTACTTACAAAGTGTATAAGAATCGCTCAGAAAATATAAAAACCGCAAGTCACAATAATCTTCTCGATGAGTCATCAGTGAAAGAGCTAGCTGGACAAAATGGCGTAATTTGCACTGTGTGGTACAAGGACGTAAGGTTTTTCAACGTGCTACTGCTCCCCGGTTCCCGGCACCCAAGCAGTGCAATGTTTGACTGCTTACAGGAAGATCGCTGTTCTAATCACCTTTTTGATTGATGAAGAGAGCTGTTTCATTCCCAGGGTGATCGATTTTTAGATCAAGTCACATTCTTGCTTGAAATAAGTCACCGTTTACTAGCCAACTGGATACTTGTCTAGCCAGAGGTCTTATTTTCTTCACTTTGATCTCTCCTGGAGACAACTATTTAAGGTTTTCAGAGGGATGGTGGAACTGTTAGTCGTTTGCCGCAATAGCTGATGCGGATCTTTCGGAACAGGCTTTTCGCTTACAGTCACACGGCCCTGCGCATTGCCGCGCCCGAAAGCACTTTGGGTTTTAGAGGCCAAATTCGATTCAAGCATGACAGAGTACGCAAAGCGTTGACATTTTGTCAGCACAGAACGGAACGTCTTGACGAGATATAATTCTGTGATGAATTAGTTCCAGGGGTGCACATAGGCACAAACACCAGATATCGAATTCTACAAACGGATTATGTTTGCTTTTGGTTTCGAAACACGCATGTAGATTTTCGATAGTAAATTTGAACTTCAAACCAAGAGAATTTCCGAGGAGTTTTTCCGTTAACTGGCAAACTCACTGACCAGGGTGATCGATTTTTAGATCAAGTCACATTCTTGCTTGAAATAAGTCACCGTTCACTGGCCAGCTGGATATTTGTCTAGCCAAAGATCTTATTTTCTTCACTCTGATCTTTCCTGGAGACAACTATTTAAGATTTTCAGGAGAATGGTGGAACTGTTAGTCGTTTGCCGTAATAGTTGATGCGGATCTGTTGGAACAGGGTTTTCGCTTAGTCACACGGCCCTCCGCATTGCCGCGCCCGAAAGCACTTTGGGTTTTAGAGGCCAAATTCGATTCGGAAACTGGCATGATAGAGTACGCAAAGCGTTGACATTTTGTCAGCGCAGAACACAGAACGGAACGTCTTGACGAGATATAATTCTGTGATGAATTAGTTCCAGGGGTGCACATAGGCACAAACACCAGATATCGAATTCTACAAACGGATTATGTTTGCTTTTGGTTTCGAAACACGCATGTAGATTTTCGATAGTAAATTTGAACTTCAAACCAAGAGAATTTCCGAGGAGTTTTTCCGTTAACTGAACTAAGACAAGCGTGACAATGGTGGCCTACTCTCTACTCAAGAATGAGCTTAAAAGAGGCGAGCATTTGTGCCATTTGGGCCACGGTATTAGCCATTTAACTGCGGTCTCAGGTTGACCGAGCTTACAAAGGCAACTTTGTTGTTTTACAATAAACTGTGTTCGAGGTTGAATGGCAAGTTCTGAACAAAGATTTTTGCAGCACTACAGAAATGGATACCATTAGAAATTCAGTCTTACAAATAACACCTCGTCCGATCTCATCGCATTTTTTGTGCTCAAAATCCTCATCCTCTTTCATATTCAGGGGCTTCAGTATAGAGAGTCACAATCACTTTGAAATTCAAGACTTCCGTCTATCCCCCAACGGGCAGATGAGGTTCGCATCCAACCCCCGCCTTTTAACAGTGCAAAAAACGCTCGAGTCATCGTGCCAGAATTGACCCGGTTGGAACAGCACTCAAGTAAACTATCATGTCACTCGTAACTTTAATGAGCAGTGCATCCACAGAACTAGAATAGCTGGATTTTTTGTGAACACATAAACTGTAGTAAAATCACTTCGCTACCTCCTCTTATTTGTGGATGAGTGGCACTAGAAAACCTAGTTGGTGTTGACTGATGCTACCCAGTCCAAAAGCTGGAGAGGGCGGATAAGTATTTTGCTCCAAGTGCCCGAAACCAACTCAGACCTTTCACCCTTTTGGGCTTAAAGTGAAAACAGAGTGAGTGCGGTGTGTGATCTTCCACACTTGGCAAGGTAATTGGAATTCATTCCTGCCTCATTTCGAGTAAATGTCCAGTAACCCATGACTTTACTGACATTTGAGTAAAGTTAACATGATACGTAGACTTTCTTGCACATTCATTCCTGTGTATCACTGCAACTGCAGGTAAACTGGTAAATGCAGTGACACCTGGACGCAAGTGACTTTAGCAATTCAACTGGCTGTATTGGCATAGCCCGTTTTTGATATGCCTTCGCACACCGCTGTATTGCATGAGACATTTAAGGGAGTAGTACGTTTCCTAAATTAGCTTGAGTTGCGGTCATCAGTTAAAACGTGCCCTTCCGCAAAGCTCTGTTTAGCT